TCCCGAAGATAGTATAGATAAAAAATTCTGTTTTTGTATTGCTTCGCAGACAAGATCTCATTTCACGTCATTATCGTATTCGTTGTCTATCATATAATCATAACCCTTCTTTACTAAATGATGATAGCTACAAAGCTATACAGTAATTACTATGAGGCACGATAACTATCTTTGTTGTTGTTGGTTATTTGAATAATGGTCGCGGAAAGGGAAATTGGAAATCTTTCAAAATGTAAACTAGATGGCGTGGCGATAACGACATAAATTGTATTGACATCGTGCTCGTGGACAAGATAGTATTACTGTGGTAGCAAGAAAGAATTTTGCCGCAAGGCTGGTCCCATTATTAAAGTGTTAGACTTTTAAAACCTTCTAAATGAAACATTTCCTGTTCTATGTGAAATAATGGATTTTAGACAAAATTTTAGACAAAAGACAAAGGTGGTTATATGATAATTAACCGTTACTTGCGATCCTTCAGCTTTGCATAAAGGCTTTACAGAAAAAATTGCAGTGTTTGGCGAAATGTGATACATTGAGTTTCCGCCAATTATATAAGTTTCAATTTTTATACATCTGAAGCAAGCCATTGTTACACTGGCAATGCAAAGTAATCCGGATATCACTTGTACCAACTACCAAAGCAGAAGCATCCGTTATATATGAACTTATGGAAAATATTATAGACATGCATGCAGAACATATAATACGTCATACATTAATATTGGTCGGCTGCATTCTTTTTATTTTCTTTGTCTTTGATTTTGTCTGCCAAATAATTGAATCTATAGTGCCGCAGTGTTGTAGTGAGTAGAGTCTAGAGATCTTTTCTGATGAGGAATTCTAACCAAATTATAAGATATGAACGCCGAAAGGACGAAGAAGTAAGTAAAAGAAAAAACTGGTAAAACTCATATAACTTATTATAAGACAGTATAATATAGATGACTAACAATATTTAATAACAGGAAGGTGTCTAAAACAAGAACGCGTGTAAACAACGGATGTCCATAAGTGGTCAACGGATTTCTCGTTATAGATAAGGAACAGTAGCTTCTATAATCAAAAACACTGTTTGGTTTGAACATATGGAGAGAATATCAATACCATTAGGCTAATAACCGTCTTTACTCAAATACTCAAAACATATTCCCACGCTTATCCAAAAACTACTTACATCATGCGACAATTTTACACTTTACTGAATGCCACTTCATACTAAGAAAGTTGGTTTCAACCATTGTTTCATACAAAGCAAAAAGATTAGAGTCTAAGAGGGATTTCAGATGGACGCAAAGCTACATTCCATGCATGCATGGCATCCCTTCTTGTATTATACTTATAGTGATTTAAATGAAATGATGTTTGAACAAAAAATGCGTTTACTGGTTTTGTATATGCGGTGACACCGAACGGAAAGGAGGATTAATACGATTATATGAATACTATGCTTAGTGTTCTAAAAATTTTAAATATTTTGTAATGAGTTAAGACCATTTGTTCCGTTACATTGTGAGCGACCCAACATGATAGCTCAGCACGTTTGATTGTGAGACACGAGACATGTTCAAACTATAAACACTGACAACACTCAAACAATCTATCGTACGGCGGGGCGCTAAATAGTTGATATCAAAGAATGATCCTGATGAATGACCCGCTAGTTACGACAGATCTTCTCATGGTACAAAGTATTTAAATTATTTTTAGAGTTTGATAATTTTTGCAGTAGTTCATTCAACTACACGTCTTAAAACTACCGTAAAACACATTATAAGATAATGAGATGTTTCTCTGCATGTCATGTATAGAGAAATTACTGATCACGACTGTATTGATCAGGCGGATAAAACTATTTCTGTACAGGAAAAAAGGCCGCATGGGATCTACCAACTTTTCTAGAATATTTTGATGGATAAGATTTCTATCAATTGCTGTGTTTGACATCTAAATGATCAATTTCAATCAACTGTTTAGTTACTTCAGTAACAGCATTATAAAGGACGTACTGTGTTCATCGACCCAGTAAATTAATATTATACCGGCCGCAAAATTTCGAAACGGCAGAATTGCGAGATCAGTTTGAAAGAAAATCAATATTCTTTATAGATACAGTAAAATTAAATATAAACAAATATCAGTGCAAAATAAAATGAACATGGGCAGTGGCAATGGCGCGGATTCATTGAAATTATTGAAATCTAAACTATATATTCATTATTCGAACAAACTGATCAATACCTTCGATGTAGACCGCCCTAGAACTTGGAAAACATGGTGTAGTAAGTGTATGTCGTTCTTTAATAAGAGTCAAACTGTTGTTCGTGAATGCATTTCTATATAACTTTGTTTGTAACTTTCTATCTATATGTTAATAACGTAATAACTATAGTAAATATGTAATAATGACAATGTAATTTTCGGTGGGACTTAAATAGGAACTAACGTTCTGTTGCCCTTACCATCAATCATAAGATTGTTAAGTTAATAAAAATAAAATTTAGGGTAAGTCACTGAGAATAATTTACACTGCCTAATTTCAAATTCTAAATACCTTAAATAACACTACTTGTTATATTCACGAAATTTTTGCACAACTGAATTGACACAAGAACTGCATTTGTTCGCTTATCTTTGTAAGAAACTTTCAGAAAACGGCTAGCCGCCATTTTGAAATTTGATATATATTGAACATCAAAAAATCATATACTGAACGATATATTTGGTGTGACCTTGGTACATACAGAACTGCTTATAAATATATATATTTGAGTGTACCTATATAGTTACATGATATTTCTATGAACACAATTTACCTATGAGCACAATTCAATTTTTGGTCAAATTTAAGCATGTATGACATACATGGGGAAATACATACACGCGCGCTAAGAAACATTGCCGCATACCATAATTTATAGATTTTATACAAATCACTCCCGGACCCACTCAAACAACTTATAAACCAGGCCATAGCGTAATGTGTATTCGATAACTTCCAGAAGATGCCGGTGGTTCCTAGCTGCTCTACACGTTTCTCCCAGTTATTTGTGGGATTTTTGAGGATCACACAAACCGAATCATCATAACATAAAAATTTGAAATACTTTTCTAATATCCAAATATTAGGCTACTTCGACCTATATGGGTGTTAGGTCGAGTGATATTGTTTGATAGTGTGAGACTCATGGGCCCTCGGCAAAATTTAAGAATAGCATTAATACCAGCAACAACTTGACCTTGTCATGCAGGATTCGATTTGTCGGCCATGCAAACTTCCTGCAGGCACGTGCAGATTTTGAAACATTTTGAAGTGTTTGAATTATTTTCTTTGTTCATGCTAACAGCGGTAACGAAGTCACACCCGAACATATCAATTATCGTGCATCACCTGATGAGAAGGATTTTCCGGCCTTTTATTTGGAAACTGACATTACAGACAGCATAAAGTCAATATTGGCAAGGCTATCTGGCTCAGAAGAGCTTAATTATAAACGGTATTCCGCTTAGAGAGAGAAATTTTTACATTTGAGGAAATCCAAAAATAAACAGGAAGTTTACACCTGTTTTAATTGGTATAAAACGAATCGTTCGTGTAGTGAAATATATGAAAGAGCAAGCGGATTCATAGTCCTATACTTTCAACATCTATTACATAATTTATAGAGACGATGTTCTTTCAACCTATAGAATTTTATATGGTTTTATCAAATAAGTTCACATGCACTTGAGAAACTTCCTGAGATGCCGCACGTTATAAGATAAACAAGACGTTTCAAACTAAGACCGTTATTTTGTAACTTCGCAATGATTATGTCTCATGCCATTATGTCAGGGATATTCACGGATTGCCTCCTTATTAAATAACTCTATATACTTATATACAAGAAAAATATACAAGATCCGTCATCCATCACACGAGTGATGTTTAAATTTTGCCTAAAATTGGACCATGGTCGCCAGACTTTCACCTATTTAATAATTTCACAAGTACTTCCGTTTATATAGCCGCTCTATTTATGAGTTCCTTTATAAGAACGATTTGTATATGAAAAACAATCATGTTATTCAGCACTGACAAAAACACAGCTAGGAATCCTAACCCATACCACAGGTCTTGAGATAAACATTGAAGAAAACACTCTACCAATTAACATTCATATAATATAATGGGCCTTATTTTATTTCGTCAAATGAAACCTAATACATAATATATATTATATAAAAATTAAATTATATAGTTCACTATCGTAATAAAAGATTTCGTGTTAAATATTGGTTTACATAAAGCTACGTGACTCTTAAATATTGGTTTACATAAAGCTACGTGAGTTTTAACTGCATGGTATACATACAGCTTAAATTGAACTCATAGTTATAGAGGGTGTTTGTGGATGAAAATTAGAACGGAAACTTTTATACGCTTTTACAAGAGAGGATAAATCAATTAAGATTTATATTTAACATTCAAAGTTTGCACTTTATAAGACTTAACATTCATGCAGAAGAAAAAGTGAAAAAGGATAACCTCCACATCACCATGGGTAATGCATGCACGATGCAAGTTTGTGTTTTTTAAACATTACAGAATTAGCACCTTTAACGTATAGTTCATTTGGTTCGTACAGTGTACTAAGAAGTTTGACCACATATAATAATATATATACGGAGTATAACTGCTCTTGCATGACTAAGTTTAAAAAAGTATAAAACACTGGACGTTTTAGGACTTAGAAGACAAACTGTTCTTCTTTATCCTTCTAGTATCAATTTCCAGGTAACGTTTGATTTTCTGCGTTGTGATTGATCAAACTTGGTGAAGCAACTTGGTCGCTTATTCAGTGTTCATTATTATTCATTGTTATTTCTCAGACGGCAAGTCTTTCCTCGAAATGTCGGCATTTTGACGCTCACACGACCAATATCTAATCTAATCAAACGACGCCCATGACAACGATATTATTAAATAATGCCTACAAATTCTGTTTTTAAACAAACACCCTAAATATACTTTAGCGGAAAAGTTACGGAATTGTAAACCTTGATGCAGATTTAATATCGTAAGCAAATGCAGATTTAATATCGTAATATTGCAAGCGGAAATAAGAACGCGAGACTATTATCTGACATTTAACAATCTCAGAAATTCGTATTCTGCATGCGGTCAGATACATGCATGCAGCATATCTATATTACATAGAACAATTTATGGCATGTTCCTAGTGAAAAACATGCGTTAGGATAGTCCGGATAGGGATCTTGTTTAGGGTAATTTTCGGAGATTTTATTGCATTTCTGGTTCGCCCAGTCAGTAAAGTAAGCATACCATTTATAAAGCTAAGACATTATGGCACGTCTACATGCAGTACCTAAAGCTGGTAACCAGGCCTTGCGCGCTCTTGTGCGTAAATTACTTTGCCAATATACATTTTTCAACAAACTCGTATTAAATAGCTCAAATTTTCTTCATATCAGTATATGAAAAAAAACAAAAACAGGCATTCAACAGAAAAATTGAAAAAAGCCTATATCTATATCTTAATTGATCAAATTATTCCAATCACGCGTGGAATATCGCGCTAAAGTTAAAGGTTACCTTTTCTGTACAACCTATAGTCCAGAATATACTGTATATTTAAATTTTCACGATTTAAAAGCACTCTAAATACATTCTTGGAAAAGTAGTATTTGTTAAATTAGTAATATTTTCTATTAGTATAATTGATGACTATATATTTCAGTTATAGGAATTAATCGCAAGCCTACAAAAACGGAAAACAAACAAACTTTGATAGATGCATGTGTATTGCTAGTATGTCAAGTGTATATATATTATAATCATGCATGTTTAGTGTATATATATATATATTATAATCATGCAAGTTTTTTTGTTGTAAAGATACTAAAAAATAAGCTAAGAGCTTTACTTACAATTAATAATCTTCACGCAGATTTGTTTGGCTTTAGTAACCGTTCTGTTCCTTCATATGCTAAGAATAAAGCTGCATTCGCTGGGAAACATCGTACAATAGCCGGGCCAAGACCTTTATATAATGCTCGAATACCTTAAATTTTAGACAAATGAAATACTGTAACAACGAAGCCACTGAAATAACAATATAAAAATACTAAGACTGCTACACTGTAAAAACCAATTGGTTCTGTTATTATACAGTTCCGACTGTTGTGAAAGTGCTGCCAGAATATAGCGGTCTTCTGTTTAACGCGAACAAAAGTAGTTAAGCTGGTGTGCACTTCTGCACTCTTAGAATACTCACCTTCCTTTTTAAAAATAGAGTAGGTTAGACTCAAAAATCCTTTTGGATAACCACTGTCATTGCTACCAGTCTAAAATTATGACCAAATTACTGACAAAAAAATTACCAACAAAATAATACATAGACTAAAATACGTAACAATCAGATTACAAGCTTGCGATTTTTGAGGACCGGCTAATTACATGCGGCAGGAAAAACAAAAAACACAAAATCATCTCTCTGCTAATCAAGTTTATGTCATTGGACAGCCACCAAGGTAATGCGCATGTGGAGAAAAAATCGGTAAATATAGCAACCATATATATATATATATATATATATATATAATGACTTAAGACGAGAAATTTATTCTTTTTTAAAATGGGGAGAAAAATTCCAAGGTATCAATGAAAGCATTCAAACACTACACCGACCTGAACTCTAGATTTTACGACGTCTGTAGGAAAAACAGACGCCCAGAAACATGCTCCTGCGATTCCTCCTGATATAGCAACTTCTAGAGGACCTTGATGGAATGAAATATAAACAAAGTTAAATATGATAACCACAAACATTGTTGAAACTACATTTGTTGTGTCGGTTTCTCTGCTCTTAACCACGACCACAGTAATTTCCCGCAAAATGCAAACTATAACGTTCATAGTATAAGAAAAAAAAAGACAAAATACATATCAATATTACAGCAAGTTTTAAAATGTTCAGCAAGTTCGACAGTTCGAATAGTTTCACTTGAATGTCAAGTACCGTACGTATTTCATCGACCTCATGTAATACAAGGTAAGGGATGTCTTATTACAATATACGAGGAAGATAGTGTAGATGCATGCCGTAGTTGTTTAATGATTATACAAGAGATGGGCCAATAGAGAGGGGAATTAAAACATTTCTTCAAAAGAAGGGCTTATTAGAAAGGGAGGAAATTTGAGGGGGGCAACATCTTAAAAACGTTTTCTTCAATTCAGGAACAATTAGTCCACGCAAGGTGGACAATTAGTCCACAACAAACACTTTTACTCACCCGTGGCATCACGAATGCATGGAGGTAAAATAATTTTACCAAAGTGTTATGGCCGTTTTAAAGACAATTTGTTTGTCATAAATATTTATAAAGTAAAATTTAAGAACAATAAAACGCTTTATACCTAAGTCATCAACTGTTTTTCCCTCCGGTGTTAGAAGACGTTTGCTTAATTGATAACCACCAAAAAAGAAGAAATATCCGCCCACTTCTCGCGTACACGTACTCACAAAACCACGATATAAGCCCAGGGGTCCTTCATTTCTAATGATTTGGGCTGTTAGTGCAAGACCACCTCTATGTAGATTATTGTTGAAAGAGTTCTGTTTCAGATTTTGCTGCATGTTGATTACAGTAATATATATTAAGAATAAGCTTGCATATTACATTTTATACCAGATTAAATTAAATAGATAAATAGATCCATATGTCTGTTATCTTTGTTCTGAGTAAATTCTAGGCTATGGTGATCTGTTTGGTTGTGCCCATGAATAATCAATAATAATAAGTGAAGATAAACTGAAGTGAATATACTTTAATTTGTATAATATTATTCTAGCACCATATTATCTCATCTTTATAATCTCTCACTACATTGTAACATTCTTGACAGCTGGTGCTTGTACCACACCCCCAAAAAGGCCAAAATTGATCTGCACCCCCCCCTTCCTTACGGATCTGCCGTAGATAATTCTCTGTTAAGAGCGCCTCTTAGCACTGCAGATCTTCAACCTAATAGGGAAGGTATTCTTTAACATTAGTATGGCTATTCTCTACCAATGCCTAAACCACAATGAAAACTTTTGTGTGTGCTGTACATTGGTATTGTGATTAGCAATGCAATGAAATTTATAAATGTAAAGCCACAAAAAGAACAAAATTGTGTTACTGAGGGAGACATGAATAGGAAATCATTTAGATATATTATCTAGCTGCTATTAAATATCAATGAGATTGCACTATGGCCAAATTGATGTCAATGGCCAATTCATTCTGTGGTATGAATTTTGTGCTTCAGTTCTGCATCTTATTAGGAATGCTAAAATTTCCTAGGGTGCAACCTGTGCGCCATGACACAATGAAATATTAATTAATTGTTTAATTGCTGAATTTTGGATTGCTAAATATAATAAGACTACCTGTTCTAGTCATGCTTATTTAAAGTGTTTTTCTATTGTCATATAAATGTCACAGTATGTCTAAATTCATTACATAGAACAAATCTTATACTTACAGAGGTTTCTTGCCATTATCACCACCCCTCTGCCTCATTTGATGTTGAGCTTGTAATTTACATTTGATCAATTCAGTTGGACACAATGCAAATGATGTAATAAAAGCAGCAACACTACCGGCACATGCATTTTGAAATACACTAAGGTCATCAACATGTGGAACTTGAAAAATACTTTGAATAATTGTTTGACATCGACCATAACAAAGAAAAAGGATGGAATTCTCAGCTATCTGAGTGACAAGTGCTGGTCCAGTCCCTGCATATAGACCACGAAACCTTTCTTCCTTTAATGTTCGTTTAAAGCATTCAAACGCATTTTTATAAAGATTAGGAAACACTTGCATCTTAACCTTTACTGTATCAAAAGGTTGACCAGCAAAGACACAGGCTGTCCCAGCATTGGCTCCAGCAATAGTATCAACTATCATTGCACGATAATCTAAAACTTTTACTTCAGACATTTCTTCCTGATTGAGTTCTAGTGACGCTGTTTCACGCCCCTCAATACCGCTTTCATTCATCTTATCAGACTTGATGTTAATTCAGTCTTTACACCACCAGAGCACAAATGATGGTGATTCAAACCCCGTTATGTTTCATCATTCTCTTTTCTTATTATGCAAGAAGTCAAGAACAAAACAACACGTTGACATTTGACACTGAGCTATAACATATAAATGAGCATAACTGGAGTACTAGGGTGTGGGATTGACGCGATCCACTAGCGATATTTTTCGCGCGAAGCGACATTTTACTTTTGTTCCCGAGCTCTTAACTGCAACCATCTGAAACAAGTTGCTGAAATACAAAGTAGTAAAGTCGCTTCGCGCGAAAACAACTCAAGATTTTCTACTAATTGTGGATTTAGCTTATTCATTAATACTGATCCATGAGATAGTTTGAACGAAGACTCCACCATTGTTGGGTATACCAGTGCAGTATGGTAATAAAGGTAATATCCCAATGATAGACCATAATCTCGATGAATCAGCCTGAATTCTTCTGTAGCTAAATTTTCATTCCACAACAAGAAACACAGCATGTTTATGGCCATTTTAAGAGCACATTCAATTGTTATATATTCCCAACTTTGATATAATTTCAAATACATAACTTCGAAGTTTGGGACGGCACTTGTAGAGAAAGTGGACAAACAAAACCTACTGCGACCATTCGAATCCTCGCCACAATGAATCGAACCACGCAGGTAACATAAGCTGAACCCAGACACTTATACAAACATTTTGCATGGACACTTGATGTCTTGCTCAGCACACAAAGCATCACCAAAACCAGTTCTTTGTTTAAAGGCTGCACCTACTCCTTCAAAAAGGTTGGGACAAATACCCAAGGCTACAAGAAACTGGATAACAGTTTTGAGGATTTGTTGATCTTTTACGCTCAGATCCATTTATACGGCAACTCGTGTTTATATTAATTTAAGAAGATATATTAAAAGAGCGCTAACATAACCGATTAAAGATCAATCGTACAGATCTACTATCGATGTTTACCGTTGACCCTGTCCCCCTGCTCTCTGAGCTCGGTTCTTGCTCAAGTATTCCACAAAACGACAACTTCAATTCATGACGTGATCTCAAATGCTCCTCCGTTTCTAAAGCTCGCCAAAGAAACATAGATTCAACGCTAACAAATCATCAAAATTGGTTGTGGCTTTAACGGCTAAGTGCATGTCTGCAGCTTTACTTCGATTTAAAAACTTGTGAAATAAAAACTTGTGAAATAAATTTATACAATTTAGGCCCAACGTGTACCAGCGAGTCAAGCGGCTATACTACTAAAAACACAAAATAACAAAACATTTTAGCAAACTAAGCCGTTCAGTCATTTATATTGAGTTTCCTTTCGAGAATGACGATTATTTTGACGTTAAAAACCAACAAGGATTGTTTCAAAACACTAAAAGAATATAAAAACACTAAAATTTCTCGCTAGAAACACTTAAAAAACGTTTAGGCGTTTAAATCTTGACATTTCCAAGCGTGTGCCTTATTAGTCGTTTTCTGTGCATATACTTGTTAGGGACCGCCCCCCGAGACCAGGAAAAGCTTAAATACGTTAAATTTATCTTCGCTCTCAGGGCTAGCCACTGTAGCTGATTCGTCTATGACGCTAGGCTTGTGGCGATGCATACTCTGTTTCTCACTGAGACGTAACGGTTAGGTGCACATACATCATGGTCTGGGGGCCGTAGTGCATCTCCCCCTTAGACGGCCGTTAAGATGTGAGTTATGGGGGGGAGTTCTTCCTATAGCAACCGCCTTGCACCTTTCGTAGTTGTAACTATGCTGAATATTGCAGCCGGTTGTATAACCAGGTTAGATTGTGGCATAGGCTGGATGATCTCTTTTGGGTGTTTTTCCCCAAATTTTTTTTTTGGCACGCTTTCCAAATTTTGTTTTACATACAAAAAAATACTGTTATTAAACATATTATGGAACGGATATGGTTCGAAAAAAAATTTATATCGACTAAAAACACCTTAATTAACCCCTGAATACTCTCCCCAGTCTCTGCATGATATAGGAGGCAATGAATTAAACAATAGTACAATACCAGAAATCATTCATAAACAGCAAACATCTTCATCAACCTTACAGCAGTAAAACAGCACAAAGACATTCAGACAGTCAACTCTGCATTCCGTTAGTGCCTTCAGCCCAGAACTGTCATCAAAAGTCTGGATAAATCCCTGGCTTTCTGCGATTTTCAAATTCATATTTCAAAATATCTGACATTGAAACAACTCAGATTTTCTAATAATTGTGGATTTAGCTTATTCATTAATACTCCATGAGATAGTTTGAACGAAGACTCCCACCATTGTTGGGTATACCAGTGCAGTATGGTAATAGGTAATATCCCAGATATCTCGATGAATCAGCCTGAATTCTTTGTAGCTAAATTTCATTCCACAACAAGCAACACGGCATGTTCATGGCCATTTTAAGAGCACATTCAATTGTTATATATTCCCAACTTTGATATAATTTCAAATACATAACTTCGAAGTTTGGGACGGCACTTGTAGAGAAAGTGGACAAACAAAACCTACTGCGACCATTCGAATCCTCGCCACAATGAATCGAACCACGCAGGTAACATAAGCTGAACCCAGACACTTATACAAACATTTTGCATGGACACTTGATGTCTTGCTCAGCACACAAAGCATCACCAAAACCAGTTCTTTGTTTAAAGGCTGCACCTACTCCTTCAAAAAGGTTGGGACAAATACCCAAGGCTACAAGAAACTGGATAACAGTTTTGAGGATTTGTTGATCTTTTACGCTCAGATCCATTTATACGGCAACTCGTGTTTATATTAATTTAAGAAGATATATTAAAAGAGCGCTAACATAACCGATTAAAGATCGATCGTACAGATCTACTATCGATGTTTACCGTTGACCCTGTTCCCCTGCTCTCTGAGCTCGGTTCTTGCTCAAGTATTCCACAAAACGACAACTTCAATTCATGACGTGATCTCAAATGCTCCTCCGTTTCTAAAGCTCGCCAAAGAAACATAGATTCAACGCTAACAAATCATCAAAATTGGTTGTGGCTTTAACGGCTAAGTGCATGTCTGTAGCTTTACTTCGATTTAAAAACTTGTGAAATAAAAATTTGTGAAATAAATATACAATTTAGGCCCAACGTGTACCAGCGAGTCAAGCGGCTATACTACTAAAAACACAAATTAACAAAACATTTTAGCAAACTAAGCCGTTCAGTCATTTATATTGAGTTTCCTTTCGAGAATGACGATTATTTTGACGTTAAAAACCAACAAGGATTGTTTCAAAACCATAAAAGAATATAAAAACACTAAAATTTCTCGCTAGAAACACTTAAAAAACGTTTAGGCGTTTAAATCTTGACATTTCCAAGCGTGTGCCTTATTAGTCGTTTTCTGTACATATACTTGTTAGGGACCGCCCCCCGAGACCAGGAAAAGCTTAAATACGTTAAATTTATCTTCGCTCTCAGGGCTAGCCACTGTAGCTGATTCGTCTATGACGCTAGGCTTGTGGCGATGCATACTCTGTTTCTCACTGAGACGTAACGGTTAGGTGCACATACATCATGGTCTGGGGGCCGTAGTGCATCTCCCCCTTAGACGGCCGTTAAGATGTGAGTTATGGGGGGGAGTTCTTCCTATAGCAACCGCCTTGCACCTTTCGTAGTTGTAACTATGCTGAATATTGCAGCCGGTTGTATAACCAGGTTAGATTGTGGCATAGGCTGGATGATCTCTTTTGGGTGTTTTTCCCCAAATTTTTTTTTTGGCACGCTTTCCAAATTTTTGTTTTACATACAAAAAAATACTGTTATTAAACATATTATGGAACGGATATGGTTCGAAAAAAATTTATATCGACTAAAAACACCTTAATTAACCCCTGAATACTCTCCCAGTCTCTGCATGATGAGGCTGAATTAAACAATAGTACAATAGCAGAAATCATTCATAAACAGCAAACATCTTCATCAACCTTACAGCAGTAAAACAGCAACAAAGACATTCAGACAGTCAACTCTGCATTCCGTTAGTGCCTTCAGCCCAAGAACTGTCGATCAAAAGTCTGGATAAATCACCTGGCTTTCTGCGATTTTTTAAATTCATATTTCAAAATATCTGACATTGAGAACAATCAGATTTTCTAATAATTTGGATTGGTTATTCATTAATACTGATCCATGAGATACTTTGAACAAGACTTCACCATTGTTGGGTATACCAGTGCAGTATGGTAATAGGTAATCCAGGTAATCTCGATGAATCAGCCTGAATTCTTTGTAGCTAAATTTTCATTCCACAACAAGCAACACGGCATGTTCATGGCCATTTTAAGAGCACATTCAATTGTTATATATTCCCAACTTTGATATAATTTCAAATACATAACTTCGAAGTTTGGGACGGCACTTGTAGAGAAAGTGGACAAACAAAACCTACTGCGACCATTCGAATCCTCGCCACAATGAATCGAACCACGCAGGTAACATAAGCTGAACCCAGACACTTATACAAACATTTTGCATGGACACTTGATGTCTTGCTCAGCACACAAAGCATCACCAAAACCAGTTCTTTGTTTAAAGGCTGCACCTACTCCTTCAAAAAGGTTGGGACAAATACCCAAGGCTACAAGAAACTGGATAACAGTTTTGAGGATTTGTTGATCTTTTACGCTCAGATCCATTTATACGGCAACTCGTGTTTATATTAATTTAAGAAGATATATTAAAAGAGCGCTAACATAACCGATTAAAGATCGATCGTACAGATCTACTATCGATGTTTACCGTTGACCCTGTTCCCCTGCTCTCTGAGCTCGGTTCTTGCTCAAGTATTCCACAAAACGACAACTTCAATTCATGACGTGATCTCAAATGCTCCTCCGTTTCTAAAGCTCGCCAAAGAAACATAGATTCAACGCTAACAAATCATCAAAATTGGTTGTGGCTTTAACGGCTAAGTGCATGTCTGTAGCTTTACTTCGATTTAAAAACTTGTGAAATAAAAATTTGTGAAATAAACATACAATTTAGGCCCAACGTGTACCAGCGAGTCAAGCGGCTATACTACTAAAAACACAAA